AGGTTCCATATGGTGTAGGTCCATGTGGTGTAGGTACATAGATGTAGGTATATATGGTATAGGTTCCATAGGTGTAGGTTCCATATGGTGTAGGTTCATGTGGTGAAGGTCCATGTGGTGTGGGTCCATATGGTGTAGGTTCTATCGGTCTAAGCACATAGGTGTAGGTATATATGGTATAGGTCCATATGGTGTAGGTTCTATAGGTATACGCACATAGGTGTAGGTGTATATGGTGTAGGTTCCATACGTGTGGGTTCCATATGGTGTAGGTTCAGGTGGTGAAGTTCCATATGGTAAAGGTCCATATGGTGCAGGTTCTGTAGGTGTAAGCACATAAGTGTAGGTATATATGGTGTAGGTCCATGTGTAGGTTCCATAGGTATAGGTACATAGGTGTAGGTATATATGGTATAGGTTCCATAGATATAGGTTCCATATGGTGTAGGTTCGTGTGGTGAAGGTCCACGTCGTGTAGGTTGCATAGGTGTAGGTCATATGGGTAGGACTCTAGCCCGGTGCTATTCTAGTGTGTGTCTGATCCATACTGGGCAAAACCAAAGCCCACTGATGGACTTGTATGTTGTTTCTGTTTACTGCTTCAGTTCTGTCTTGTCTGATGTGAATATCGCCACCGTTGCTGTCTTTTTCTCAGCATCTGCCTTTCATGTGTTCTCCCACTTCATTTTCAGCCTCGCTGTGACGTCTGCTTAGTAGCGTCTCTTCAGCAGCCCATAGATGGGCTTTTTAATCCAATTTGTTCACATTTATTATGATTCATGATATGCAGACTGTGTTCATTTCCTATCGCTGCTGTGACAAATTACCACAAATACAAAACACATGTTGTTTGTCTTTTGTTTCCAGAGGTCAGTGTCTAAAATGAGTCAGCAAGGCTGGTTCCCTCTGGAGGCTCTTGGAGGAGAATCTGTTTCCTGCCTTTTCCAGCTTCTGGAGGCTGCTGCATTCCTTGGCTTGTGGCCCCTTCCTCCACGTTCAAAGCCAGCAACGCATCACTCCACCCCTGCTTGCATCGGCACATCTCCTTCTCTGACTCCGCCTCTTTCCTCGTATAAGGACCCTTGTGATTATATTGGGCAGCCCCGGATAGTCCAGGATACTCTTCCCATCTTGAGATCTGTAACTTAGTTATCACATCCACAAAGTCCCTTTTGCCATGTAAAGTTCCAGGAATTAGGACGTGGACATCACTGGGGGGCCGTTATTCAGCCCACCAGATGAACTGATTCTGGTCACTTTATTAAGTTTCCTAGTCATCCGGTTTTCTTTCTTTTATTGTCTTTTTTGTTTTGTTTTGTTTTCTTTGCTCCACTTTTCTCTGCTGGCTTTGAATTTATAATCCCATTTTTATTTTTCTAGTTTTTACCCTTAAAGTGTTAGCAATCATATTTGAAGATATTTTTCTTCTGAAATCTAGCATTTATCTGGATCTGTAATTTCCATTGAACAAAACAACAGTTATATCATGATGTCATTGATATCTGCCATCTGGAATTGTCTTTCCAAGTTATCCTCCAGGAAAAAGGCACCCAGTCACGTTCCAGGCCTCTGTGGTTGGAGGCACGTTACCCTTAGCTCTGATCACGAGGGCTAGCTCTTACAAACAAAGTAAAGAAAATCTTAGAGTGATGGGTAGTTAAAAAAAAAAAAAAACTATCTTATTTATTTGCTTTCATTACTTACGGAGTTGAACACTTTTTCTATTTGTTGGTCATTTGTGGCACTGTTGCCTTGTTCTTTTGCCTATAATTGAAGTGTTTGTGTCTAATTTAAGAGTTCTTTAACTATGAAAGATACTGTTGGTTTGCCAACTGGCTCCCATAGATGGAAGGCAAAGAGAGATGGAAGAAATAGTAACCGAGCAAAAAGGGGCTCGTTCTGCTTGCTGCAATCCAGTCCCAATTAATTGCAAACAAGCCAGTGGTTGAGAAAGGAAAGTTTATACGATCAGCTAGCATAATGGGAAGATGACAGACAAGTGTCCTAAAAAACCGTCTTAAAACGATACAGAATCTTGAGGCATTCATATAGGGGAAATGGATAGGGAAGGAGGGGGTTTAGGGATATGGATCATCCAGTGTGACGAACTTCAAGGCACCTCATTCTCTCTTTCTTCTGTCATCTGTGACGGGTACCAATGCAGAGTTTTTCTTTCTGGAGGTCGTCGTGTTCCTGTGGACTCAGAGAGCAAGGTTATCGTCTTATCACAGCTGGGAGATATACGTAAGCAAGAGTCACAGAACTAGCAGAGCATGTATTTTGCAAAAGCAAGAGGTGCTTAAGCATTGAGGCTGCATGCAGCCAGAGTGCCTTCTTAGAAACTAGTGAGTCAGGGTCATAGTTACAATATTGCTTTCTTTCCCCAAGATGGCTTCCCTCAGGCTAACTTAAGGTCTAGCTGTTACAGAAAGAGGCAGGCCACCCCAGATTGGCAGGTGGCAGGTTTAATAAGCCAGGGGACTTACATAGGAGGCTTGTCTTGGGCGAATGCAAGATGAGTAGGTCTCTGCATCTGCGTGCCAGCATCCTAAAAGTTGACAGAAAGGCCTTACCTGGGTTCAGTCACGTCTACTGTCCAGATAGTCTCAACAACACATCACTATCTCAAGGCTGTGCCCTTTGGGCATCTTCTAGCACGGGGAAGACAAGCAGAACGCACATTCCAAGGACAGGGGCGGGGGTGAGGAGCCTCTGGTTGCCTGGGACCCAGCTGGAGGGTCAGCCGGTGGTCACGTTCTCTCCGTGACCTCCTCCCACAGATGTCAGCCTGTTCCCACATAGGGTAAAAATACTTTTCCTTGTACGTCGTTTGCTATTTCATTTTGGTTATGTTTTAAGCTTTAAATTTTTGTAGTGCTTTTTACTTGTTAGAGAGGCTGACTCCAGTTAGAGATCAGATATTCACTGTGAGTCTCTGTTTTATTTAAGATATATGTTTACCTCCTGCTCTGTACACGTTTCGTACGATGTGAACACAGCGTGTTTTGGTTTGGCTCCGGTGAGGAATAGAAACTGTAATGATGTGCGTGGTTCATGTGGCTTTCCGTGTCTGGCCAGGACTGAGGGGGGTGGTGGCCCCGTTGCGTCCTGCCCTTTCATCCCCATTGGGAGGAAGAACCAAGGTCAGTGTGACTTGGCCAGTGCACAGCTGGGATTGGACCCCCGGCCACCTGACTTGAAAGCCCACACTTTTAACAGAGCAGTGAGCGGATCTGTTAGCGCCTGGCCCTGGGCCTGTGGAACCAGCAGTGCCCAGGCCAATTGCTGCTGCCCTGCAGCCTGCATTCTAGAAGGGGCTCAGGTCAGGAGAGGTGCTCTGAAGGAGGACTGGGAAGGTGCAGGGGCTAGTGCAGGGCCAGTAGGGGATGGAGAGATGACACGGTGGCAGGACGTGAGCAAAGGAGGAAGGCAGCCACTGGAAGGTCTGAGAACATTCCGGGAGGAGAGGGAAGAACCCTGAGCAGGGAATGACTTTGTGCTCATTTTAGGAGATTCTCTCCCGTTTTAGAGTCTATGCCGTGGCAGAAATGGAACGTTTCGGCTTGTTTTTAACTTTGATTTGAGGAAGCTACAGAGGAGCCCTCTGATCCTCTTAAAGGACCCAAGGAGGCATTGAAATAGAGGTACGATTGTGCTGTTTGCAGACAAGTGTGTATGTCCCTCTCTCTGCAGGCCCGTGATGCACCGGAACGTCCGCTACAATTGCAGGGTGATATTTCTCAACAGGTAGGTGGCCTCCAGGAGCACAGTGACCTGTGTGCCAGGCTCTGGGGGACCGTGGACACTTGTGCTCGTGCCCTGGGACATGGTCCCTGGGAGCTGTGTGCTGGGAGGTCTCTTCCAGAAATACCAGGTCCTTAGAGAGGGCCGATGCGACTCAAGTGGCACTGCTCCCGGTCTCTGCCACCAGTGACACCTTCAGGTCTTAGAAAGGGGCTGGGGGGTTGGGGACACACGGTCCTGTTGCCAGGAGGTCAGTCGAGGGAGGGTGGGCTTGTAATGTCCCCTGGCAGACCCTGGACATCAGCTGACCACACAGTGCACACCTGCTGGGTCTGAGCCACTCTAGCATTGTCGACCGTCAGCGCTGGACGGCCCCGCGGGCTGCTCCTTGTTCCCGGGCCCGTTCGTCTCAGAAGCAGTCTTGTTCCCCTGCCTGTAGGAGGATCCTGCTCATCAGACCCAAAATGGCCTTGGCAAATGAAGGCAACTACCGAGAGCTGCGCTGGTTCACCCCGTGGTCCAGGACTCGGTGAGTCACGGTCGTGAGGTGTGACCACTCCTTGAGTGTTTATGAAGCATCTTTGCTGTATGTCACCTTGGTGCAGATGGTGGGGGGTACACAAGAATTCAAGGCATAGTCCCTGCCTCCTGGTACCTGTCATTTGGATAGGGCTATTTTGATGCTGCCAGTTAAATTATAGCCAGTGTATCACAGATCACATAAAACTCTCACTCGTCAGTCACCCATCACCGGTCATTTTAAGTGCAGTATCACTTACATCTTGTGTGATCCTGTGTATCAGGGTTTCTTAGCTCCAGCCCAGCTGCTTTGGGGCTGGATCATCCTTGTAGGGGGCTGTCCTGTGCATGGAAGGGTGTGGAGCAGCACCCCTGGCCTCCCCAGTGAGATCCGTGACAACCAAAAATGTCTCCAGGCTTCGCGAAATGTCCCCTGGGGGCAACATCATCCCTGGGTGAGAAGCCCTGCCCTGTATTCTTGTGACAATTGTTCCTGTTCATTGTTGCTGCTATTGTGAATGGAATCTTTCACGTTATGTTTTTAAATGGTTAATCGTTTTGTGTTGGAAAGCTTTACATTTTTGCTTGTTGCTTTTGAAATGGACCGCCTTACTGTATTCCCTTACCGTTATTCTCTCTCTGGGAGTTATTCTATTGATTTTCTTCGTTTTTTTTCCAAGTAGAAATTATATAAGATACCACTATTTTACTTCCCCTTTTCGATATTGACATCTCTCAGTTCATTTTCCTAACAACTTTTGTTGGCCAGCATTTCTAGAGCAACATTCTAGATAATTTCTAGAACAAACGTCTCTGATAATCGGCGTTTTTGTCTTTTTCCTGACTTTACCTGGAAACCTTTTCCTGTTTTTGCGTTTGGTTTCAGATTTATATCCATCTCTAAGTATTTTTACTTTGGGGTTTTAAAATTAATTGAGAATGGATGTTGAATTTGTCAAATATCTTAGCAACGTTGAGATGAATATAGAGTAAATCTCTGTGTGTCTAGAATAAACTCCAGATGGATGCAGTACCTTACACTTTGTTTCAATTTGCTAATATCTATTCAGAATTTTCCTCTCTTTTCCAGATTTAGGTGCCAGTATTATGCTAGTTTTTAAAAAAAAAATTAAAAAAATTTTCCTGTGCTCTGAACACTTTATTATAGGAATGATGTATCAAATAACAATATGGCTACAATTCTCTTTAAAACTTAGGAATGATGTATCAAATGATATTTACTTTTAAATTTTTATTGAGGTATAAATAACATGCAATAAAATATGCAGATTTTAGTGTTTTGTTTTTGACAAACGTGTGCCTTTGTGCGATCACCACCCTGAAGAAGAGACATTTCCATCACCCCAAAGTCCTCTCTGCCCCTTGCCAGTGGATCCCCTCCCCCAGGATTAGTTTTGTCTTTTCTTAGATTTTATACAAATGGAGTCATATGTGTACATTCTTTCTTAACTGGTTTCTTTTGCTTAATGTGAGGCTTTTGAAATTCACCCAGTAGTTTGTCCTTTGTATGGTACAAATAGTTTGCTCTTTTATATAATAATGCGGTTTTAAAAGTCCTAAATAATTCCATAAGCTTGCTAACAAAACAACCCCCCCCCACTGTGCCCCCTACCCGTCTCCGAGCCCGGCTCCCCGGGAGCCGCCCTTCTCAATTTTTCGCCCTTCTCCCCTAACCTCTGAGTTTTGCTTCCATATTTCTAAATAACATGCATCTGTTGCCATATTGTGGCTTCCTTCTCTGGAAGAACAGGATTGAGCACACACAGCCCCCACCTCCAGTCTCTGTCCACTGCCCCTTCCTAATATGGACGTGCTAGGTTTTCTGGTTACATCACACCTCAGGCTGTGTTCTGAGTCTGCGAAGTTTGCCCTTCCTCCTGCCAGAGTCAACCACACTTCACGTTCTCCTTGCCCTCTGTCTCTGGTGTCTACACTGACTCATCGACACTCCTCCCATCCCACAGGGCAGACGGTCAGTCCTGCCCTCCTGCCCCAGTCTGTCCCCGGGCCTGCCGAGCAGCTGTCATCCCCTTCCCGTCCCAGTTCCTAGGACTCCTCTGCCCTCTCCCCTGGGTTTGATCAGCCTCCGGGATCGACTGTCTTTCTTTGTCAGTCACTCATTTGCTGGAACACAGCTTCCAGTACCTTTCTACCGTTCTCCACCACCAAGCAATTAACTCAGTTCTGACACTGTTATCCTGGAGAGAGTGTCAGATTCCACAGGTTAAGAGGGTCCCACAGGTTAAGGCTCAGTCCTACAAGACAACCCCTCTGCCCACTTCAGACGCCAGTCGCATCCAGGCTGTCACCTTGTTGACACAAATAATCCATAATCAATCTATAAATCAAAATTGAGGTGAGTGTATGATGAGCCAGATCTGAGAACTAGCCTGGGGCCTTTGGAAAGAAGGGCACTGAAGAAGTGGGGTGTACAGAGCAGTTATACGCCGTCTTGGAACAAAGAGCGTACTTCACATATGATAGGAATGTCCCTTTTACAGTCGTCATGAGATGCTTAGCTGTCAGCAGATCAGTGGTCAGCAGGTCAGTGGTCACAAGGTGAGCACAGCAGGTTGGTAATTAATCCTTAGTTCCCTGGAAGAGATGCTTATCCTTAAAGAAATACTGATATGGGGGGAAGCTGCATCCCTATCTTTAAGGGCATCATTCTTGTCTTTGGGACACAGTGAATGTTTAAAGCAGACGTACAATGCATACTCAACACGCCACATCAGGAACTTTTGGAAAAACAAGGTCAGGCCGAATTAGTTTTAACCCAAATGGCTCCCTTGTACACTCCAGTATATCCTATTGCTTGTCACTTATTTATCAACTTGTAATTCTGACCGACTGGTTATAGATCGGAGGTTACCACGACCCCCACCTTGAGTTCCATTAATTTACTAGAGCAGCTCACGGGGCTCAGAGAAACATTTTACTCACTGGATTACTAGTTTATTATAAAATAGTGTAACTCAGGAGCAGCCAGATGCAAGAGGCACCCAGGGCAAGGTGTGGGGAAGGGATGTGGAGCTTCCGTGCTCTCTGAGCGCACCCTCCCCTAATCTCCACGAGTTCACCAGCCTTGAGGCTCTCTGGACCTCGTCCTTTTGGGTTTTTATGGAGGCTTCATTACATAGCCGTGACTGATTAAAGCATTGTCTGTTAGTGATTAATTCAACCTCCAGTCCTCTCTCCTCCCTGGAGTGGGGGGGTAGGGTGGACTGAAAGTTCCAACCCTCTCATCACTGGTTGGTTCCTCAGACATGCGGCCCCCGGTCCTTAGGTGACCCCAGGGGCCTTTCCAAAAGTCACCTCATTAACATAACAAAAGACACCTTGATTGCTCTCTTCACAGGAAATTCCAGAGGTTTTCGGAGCTCAGTGCCAGGAACGGGGAGGAAAGGGAGGAAAACCAAATATGTATTTCTTATTATAAATCACAATATTGATACCAGCTCAAGACAAGGTTGACATAAGGGAAGCCATATTGTAGAAAAGAAAAACTCTATTGTAACTTTGAATGACCTCTGACAAACTAACCCAGCTGGATCTGCACCCTGTGGGAGATCTAACTGCTCTGTAGATTTTAGGACCCCTGGTTGTACATATACCTCCCAGCTGCGATAAGATGATAACTTTGTTCTTTTGAGTTCCTTAAGAGTGTGATGACCCCTGAACAGAGCACCTATGCTGATAGCCATCATCAGCGAAAACTGAAAGATCTGGTGTGGCACTCCCAGTCTGTAACACCAGAAGGTCAACATTCCTATCCCCCTCCCCAATAATGCAACGGCCTATATAACTGCTGTAAGATTTCATGCCCCCTTAAGATGGTTCTTTTAGACATGAGTTGGCCATCTTCCCTCTTGCTAGCAAGATGTAATAAAAAGTCCTTTTTCTCCTGCCACCTTGCCTCTTGACTATTGGCATGTCTTGCGGCGAGCAGAAGGCCCCACGTTGGGCAGTAATAATATCACACTTTCCAAGCAACGATTCGAGGAAGGTGAAGTTTTGAGATCTTGCCTGCCTGCGGATGTCTCTGTTTGACTCTCGCATGTGATGAATACTTTCGCAGAATTAAAAAAAAAAATTCTAGGTTAAAATAATTTTTCTTCGTCATTTTGAATGCAGTTTTGGAAAGATTGCCTTTGGCTTCTCGTGTTGGTGAGAATTCTGATGCTATTTGGAGTCTTCGTCTTTCTCTGTGATCTCTTCTCTCTGGGCCCTTGGGGAAGCTTCTTGTCTTTGCTGTATTACGTGTTTATCCTGACGGACCTTGTCTGGGTCTCTTGATTCTCGGGTTAGCCCTCCATAAGCCCTGAACCTGGAGACTCAGGTCGTTTGTTTGGGGAAGTGTTTCTGTGTCCTTTCTTGGGTGGTTTTCTCCTGTTTTTATTTCTGCAACATCTCTTGATTGGAAATGGGACTTCCTGAATTATCTTCTCTAATTTTCTTATCTTTTCATTCTCATTTTCTAGAAGATTCCATCACCTTATTTTCTCTCTCTACTGACGTTTAAAGTTAGCTATCTTATTTTTAATTTCTAAGAACACCTTGTTTTCTCATGTTTTCTTTCATAAAGTGTCTTTTTTAGTACCCTCTTTTACCTCTGAGTATATTAACCAGGTTTTTGGGGTTTTTTCCTGCATTGTCTACATTTTTTTCTGAATTCCTTTAGTTTCTTTGTTCATCTGTGTCTCTGTGATGATGGGGCGCTCTGCAGATCTCTGGAAGACTCTTGGCTCTTCATGCACATTCAGGAATAAAGCTCTGAAAAATCAGCTGGAAGTGTGTGCTGACTGGAGAGCATGGCCCCTCCTAGCCTCTCTGCTGAGCAGTTGGGGAGCCGAGCTTTCCACCACGGCACCTTCAGAGTTTCTCTTTGGATGTCTTTTCTCTGGGGCCTTTTAATTCATCCAGAAAAAAAATCTTTGATCTTCTAGGCTGTGTGGCCCATGCTGAGCTCAGTGACCTTTCCCTAAGCCCGTCTTCAGCCTCGAGCTCCCGCCCTGTCTTACATCTCCATGTCTGTCTTCCGTATTTTCCATCCTTTCTCTGACCACTGCTGTCTCTTCATCTGTGTATATCTCATTTGTGGGTTCATTCCTCATGTTTGTCCTCTAGGCGGGGTCTGTGGTCGCCATCTGTTCTGCTCTTTGATGCTTCTGATGTGTTTTGGTATCTGCAAATATTTCAAATTCTTTTCATAGTTTGCAAGCTCACTTTTTATCTTCTGTTGTTCAGTCATCTTTGAGATTTTTGATTGGTTTATGTTGTCTCTACTGTCTTTGAGAGTATTTGTATACCTAGTTCACTTCTTTCCCCGTTTGTAATGTGTGTGTGTAGGTCTCACGTTGAAGCCTTTGCAACTGTTACCCGTGTAGTTGTGCCTGTGGGAGGGGTGGCACATTGAGCTTCAGGAACCAGACGCTTATATTTTGGAACAGTTAAACAGACAGAGATTTTCACCCTCTGAGAGCTGTGCCAAAGTGGTGACAGTGCAGGGGTGTCTCCACTTGAGCAAGGAGAACATCACAGGTTTAAGGCGCTGTTGCAGGTCCTCTTAGGAAAATAGAAATAAGACCCAGTTCTTGACTGAATCTGAGAACCTGCTCATTTTCATTATGTTCTTGGATGGACCCCCAAATCTAAGCACAGCAAAGCAGGTCACAGGGGCTCTTGTAGCTCCCAGGGGGGCCAGAGAAGACTTGTAGTTGGCATGGCCCCAAAATGGTTTCTTGGCAGGAATACGCTGCTTGGATTTGTCCAGAGGGTGTTTGCTGGGGAGGAGGGACTCCCAATCAGAGAATACCACGAGCTGTGCAGAGCAGGAAAGGTACAGGTGTAGAGACAGCTGGAGAGATGGGTCTGGCCAGCCCGAGGCAAGCTTGAATGACAAGCTTTAGAGTAGTGACTTCTACTCACGATATTCTGGCTCTCCAGTGCCCTGTGACGAGCCGCACTAGCCACCCACAAGGTGTAAACTGGCTTTGAAGCAGAGAGTGAGAAAGGGCGACATTGAACATACACTGTGTCCAGGTGGTCTGGGGCCAAATGGATCTTTGGGTGAGTTGAGGGGGAAGGAGAGAATGAAGGAAGAAACACTTTGGACGGCTCTTACCTTTGAAATGAATTTTGATGCAGCAACGTTGCCATCAGCAAACCTACAGATGGTGAATTGAACGCTCAGTGTGGGACGGCAAGGCAGCTCGGGCATCGGCGCGGTGTCTGTGTGTCCCTGTTCCCTACCTTAGCGAGGAGAGAAGGCATCCTCTTAACGTCTCAGCTTTTAAAATTGACTTCAGTAAGAGACCAACTAAAATCATGCTGGAAGGCTCTTGTGAATTCCAAGAAAGCAAAAAGAAATAAGTTAATTAAATGTCTTAATGGTGCATCTTCTAACAGCCTATTTGAGGTCAAATTTGTGAACCATCTGTTTTTTAAATTCTGCCTTTTAGTGCGGCACCTTGAGATGCTTTGTACTGAAGTTGTGTATTAAATTCTTCCATCATCTTATAAGATTTGGAACGTGATTTTATTATGTCGGAACGTGATTTTCTTATGTTGGTGACGATATGGGTTTGTAATTGTATGTTGGGTTAATGCAGGGTGATCTTTCTGATTCAGAAATTTTGATCAGGAATTCCACCTGGATTTCCCCATGGGGAAACGTGACTTCTTTTCGGATAATCGCCGTGACGCGCCTCTCGGAAACGCTGTCCCTCGCTGCGAGCAGAAGCCGACGGATGACAGGAGAGCCCAGAGCGCCATGGTGTCCCGTGGTAGAATGCACAGCCGCTTCATCAGTTCACCTTATGCTCTTCTTTTTAGATTAAACTGAGAGTTTATAGCACGTGTCAGTACTAGACAGTTCAGAGCTCTCAGTTTGAGTTTTGTTTAAACTTGGGTGCTGTTCTTCATTTTTTTCTGAGATGGTCCTTCTCAGATCTGTCGTGTTTTCCTTTCCAGGCAAACAGAGGAATATTTTCTCCCCCGGATGATCCAGGACCTGACAAAGCAGGTGAGACTCGGAATAAAATTCATTTTTCAGCCAAATGTCAGTATTCTAGGCTAATGGCGGACCGTGTGTGGGGGGGGGCCCTTCGGTTCACAGTGCTAGAAACCGCTTCAGCTGATGTACGTGGAAAACAGGGATTTCTGTGACAAGTGGGGGCGTCTCGGGGGCACTGGACCTCTGTGAGCACGTCCTTCCTCGTGCATCCCTGATGTTCTTTGTGTTCCCGCCTCCTGCCCTCCAGCTCACGCTGGTGGGGAGTGTGTGTGGGGAGCATGGTTGAGGGGCTTCCTGCCCCCGCAGCGGGCTGTTTTCTGCAGGGACTGGGGCCTAGGGACTGCCCAGGAAGCCGAGTTTGGGGTTTTTCTAATTATAAAACTCATGGGAGACTTCATGTGGCTCCTGTTTGTTCTGTGAAAACCCAGCGTCAGAAATCTGCCTCGTCATGTCGTCTGAACCTGGCTGGACAGGCCTGTGAGCCTTTGATCTTGCAGCCTTCACTCGGGCCCTCGTCCATCCTCCTCCTCCTGGGAGCTGCTGGGGTGGGGCAGCTGGAATCCCACTCAGTCCACTTCCTGTGGGTGGTTGGGAGCTGGGGGCACAAAGCGGGTATTTGGGGGACCTCTGACTTCTCTGGCTCCTGCCTCAATTCTCGTCTTGTTTGCCACGTGTATTAATTTGCTCAGAATGCTGTAACCAACACCACAGGCGGGGTCGCTTAAACCACGGGATTTATTGTCTCCCAGTCCTGACGCTGGACGTCCGAGATCCAGGTGTGGGCAGGGCTGGTTCCTCCTGCAGCCTCTCTCCTTGGCGTGTAGACGGCCGTCTTCTCCCTGTGTCCTCACATGGTCGTCCCTCTGTGCGTGTCTGTGTCCCGATCTCTTCTTATAAGGCTACCAGTCAGATTGGATCAGGTCCCACCCTAGTGACCTCATTTTACCTTAATCACCTCTTTGAAGGCCCCGTCTCCACATAAGGTCACATTCTGAGATGTGTGGGGTCAGGTCTTTAACATGTGAATTTGAGTAGAACGCAGTTCAGTCCGTCACACCAAATTCTCTGCACCCCTAGTTATTGACTCAGGGCAGCTCGTAGGATATACTGAATCTCTCCAATAGAGTGGGTCGGCGGGGACGCAGCTGGACCTGGGATCCCCCTGAGCGGGGGGGGGGGGG